GTTTGGGAAGCGAGGGAGTTGTAAGTGAAAGGGTCAAGCAATGGGGCTTTATTGACGTTAAGATGCTAATGACAGGCAGCGCAGGACCGGGAGGCACTTTTAAACAAAGACTAACAAGGGAGCAGAACATGAGGCAGCTGGAGTGAATCACAGAAGGGCAGCAACAAGAGGTAAGACTAATATGAAACAGAGGTGGCTCGATAGGGCCACGCTGGGGAGGGAAACAGGAGGATCGGCTCGGCTGGGGGTGACAATCTCCTCCCGAATATGCAAGCAAGGTACATATAGAGTGTGTCAGTCAGGATGTTTCACAGCACATTTCTCAGAGGTATGAATCAGCTACATCCTGTCCAATTCAAAACAAAAAAGCTAAAGTAAATATGTAAACTATATATAAAATTTAAATTGCAATGTGCAAAATATTCTGTGTAGACTTTAAGTACAATATTTGGCTTCTAAACATTATTATTAGTATTGAATGATACTGGATAATATCAGTCTCTACATATTATTTTTAATAAAAATTACATTAAATATTGGTGTTTTAATAATTATAATTAATGGTTATTATGACTTTGTGCTCCATAGCATACCACTATATTTAAAATATATGAAATATTCTCCTTGCTGTTAATTTATTGGATTCATGTCACCCTGCATCATTTAATGCTGTGAAGGATCTAGTGACGTCTAGGTTTTCTGATGTGGTTCACACTGTATCGTTTCAGGTTAGTTGTTAAGGTGGAGGTCATTTAGGGTTAGGGCTATCTGGCAGGCTTCCCTTTGGGTCGTGACGCTGAACACAGAAAGCCAGCATTTAACACTGTAACCCACTTTGGCTGAGACTTGAGTGAGGCTTTCCGATTGCTGGCCCTGTTTAGCGAACGTCAGGGGACGTGAGCTTAATGAGACCTGGCGCTCTTCACATCAGGCAGGCCATGGGCAGATTCATAGGCACGTGGCAATTCAGGGACACATTTCATTAGCTTAAGCTTGGAGGAAGCTCAGTATTTTGAATTTTGTTTAATAGTTTCAGCATCATTAAACCCAACTAGCCGTATGTTTGAATTTGACTATATGACATGCATGTATGTTGTTAAAATTTCAGGGAGAGATGGACCAACATGGGGACCGTTTCTTTGGTCCTAGCCGTTTCCGGTTAATTGAGTTTGTTATATGAAAAACATAGATGCACGCTACTTAGAAATTGATTTAGTCCTTAATTGAACTTGCATTGGATAATTACCGAGGTTCTTGACTGGTGACTGTTCTACTGTGACGTTCATCATTAGGAAAATGTGAAGAGAGAACCATGATCGTGATCACATAGGGTGATAGCATCAGTCATTATCATTGTGATGAGGACAGAAAAAATGTGCTGATGGATGTTTTTCCCCGATGATATGTGTTTGAGTGAAGCAGTGGCTAACACTGTTATTACCCAGCCTGTGTATCTGGAGGTGAGGGGGTGGGTAGTGATGGATACCTGTGCTCTTCGTGTGACATTAATGACACTCAGGGACCCGCCGACATTCTCTCTCCCGCTCTTCTTATACACCAGACCTGCCCCAGACCTCACTCATTGGCTGTACTTCACCAGAGAGCATGTGGTAACAGGCCGCAAAAGTGCCCAAATTCTCTCTGGACCCAAACCTCTCCAGCTGCTTGAAGGAAGCCACACCATCCATTAGTCCTCGGCGCACAGTTCGCTGATTTGGCACTTTTTGGAGCCTTGTTCTATATTCTAGTAGTAGTAAACATTCTGAAGTTCTAAAATAAAGTTCTCTCCTTTGCTTATTCTGGCTAAGCAATGCAACAGGACCACATTTTGAGCACGGCTAACGGCTGTACATGCGTTGTCTATAAAGATCAGAATATCTCATTGTCACAGCAGTAAGACCTTAACAAAAGGACAAAGACATGTTTTTCTGTGCGGCTTTTATTAACTCGCGGTACTGTGTTACTAATTTTTGCAGTGGTAGAGTCTACCGATGCAGTGAATAACAAGTATTCCATGCTGTGTTTCCCTGCCGTTCGCAGTGTGATTACTTTGTCATATGCCATTAAAGCTTGGCTTGTTCCACAAATTATAGAGGCTGTTTTTCACACACCACAAAACTCCGACGATAAACGTATCCCTGTAGGTCTGCCGCTCCCTACATGCTAAAGCTTGTTTACACATTCCGTTGACACACACACACACCTGAGAACTCACTGGATGCAGTGTGTATAATAAGGTGCAGAACAGAAGGCTGAGCTGTAGTAAGGATTGCAGCCAGGAAACCAGCAAGTGGTGATGCAGTGGCAGCAGCATTCGGGTTAATGATGTAATGAAGGCCCTGTGCATTTTTGACAGGGGACCTTTAGTTCATTTTAATTATAGTTGCACTGCGGTTGTCAACGTCTGGAATGAACTGATTTCTTTATCGTTTTGAGGGCAGTGCCATGGTCAGCTAAGTGATTCAGAGTTATGTAACTGAACACTGATGAGAGTGTGTAAGCATGAAAAATACCAGCTAAGTTTATGTAGAAAGTGTGTTTGCATTTGCTTCGCACATAAGCCATCCCATCCATCCAGTACAACTATTTATTCCGTGGACAGTCATGGTGCTCAGACACAGGGCCGCTGCTGGCCAAATGGGTGCCCTAAGCAGACTGCGAACTCTGTGTATAGGGAGCGGCGGTACTGCTCACACACAAGCATTTGCATCTGATTTATCAAAACTTAAATCTGGAATTGGTGCAGATATTGCTGTGAGCAAGCGACGATGACATGAGAGGCAGGGATAACATATAATAAGGAAAACGATGGTTGGCACCGTTAATATTAGCAACACCATTGTAAGTCTGTTTTCATAACATGGTCAGATGAGAAAGGATGTAACATTGACAGAACAGGGCATTTAGTTACTTGTCTAACTAAGCTCCCCTTTAGATCTCATCTGGTCATATGGAAGCTTGCGTTTGAGCTCTCAGCAGTATAAAATGGTCTTAAATGATAATTCTGCATGTCTTGGTAATACCCATGTGCAGAAAACTAGTTGGAGATCATGAAACATTTCAAGCAGATTCACTCAAAGGCATCGGTGGGGTGCTAATCCATCTAATCAATTTGTTATTTAGTGACTCCCCTGCAGCTAAGAGTGCCTCTCCAGTACTAGTCACTCTCTAGTGGCCTGGAAGGGGCTCAGCTAAACCCATAATGATTAAACAATTAGGGTGTGTAAGTATAGACCTCAGCAAGGGTCTCCGCACCTTAAGCAGCTCATCAGCTGCTGTCTGCCTTCATCCCAGCTGCTGTCTGCCTTCGTCCCAGCTGCTGTCCCAGCTGCTGTCTGCCTTCGTCCCAGCTGCTGTCCCAGCTGCTGTCTGCCTT